GTTTTGCTGACTCCCTCGGCCTCACACGCCTGAAAGCTGATAAAGTAAACAGTAAGCTTGGACTCCTGGAACCTGAAGCCTAAACCATTCTAAAGGAACTGAAAAACTGGATGCTCCGACCTGGAACCCTGAAGGGCATGGAAGATGTAGCTGCTGTGGGTTTAGGGGATCTAGAATCTAGGTCAAGAATACCGACACAGGCTCAGAACCATCAACCCTGAACTATGAGCGGCTAAAACCCTAAACCAAAGGCCCTCAAATCCCGAAACGACCGCTGCGTGGAGGATGTCCGAGCGACATCTGCTGAAAGTGCTCAGGGCCTCAGAGCTGCTCCGGCGGGATGCCATTTGTCCTGCAACCTACCCCCGGGGATCAAGTAATCTTAGGGTTTGGGGTTTCGGGTCGGCTTGTTCCCTGTGCAAGGGATTAGGGCGTCGCACTGCGTGCAAGGGTTTGGAGTTTTATGCTTATCTGACTCGGGTTGCACTGTAATACCAAGAAAAATAAATTCCACCAGTGTCTTACGGCTTGCCTAAAAGCCTCAATCCTGGTAGGCAAATGCTTTTGCCTGGAATGTTTTAGGGTTGAGGGCTTAAGGAGGGAGCTTACAGGTGTCTAGTTCCAGGCGCTTAAAAGGCAGCGGGAACAGCAAAAGCTAAATCGGCAACTCTGGAAGTGATCATACATGTTTAACCACACACCCCCGCCTAAAGGTTAAACAATCGATTTAAGTGAAGAGCCTGAAATCTCAATTTTGAACTAGACTCCTATCAGGTCCTATCAGAGGAAGTCCAAAAACACTCCAACTGTCAGGACAGGCCGGCGGCGCACGAGCAGTTTCTCTGAGAAGGGAATTTTTGAGCCGATCTCTCTTTTATCTCTTTTATTTCTCTGGGCTAGGAGCATGGATGGGCTCCTGCAGTCCATGAGAGACTCCGGAAGAAAACACACAAAGTCAATGAGCACTGGCCCAATTAGAGAGAAGAAGCTGTACACGGTTTTATATAAAGCTCCACATGGGCCCAGGTTCCCTACGGGTATGCGCCCAGACTATGGGCGTGGGAGGCAAATGCAGCCCGAAACCTGCCACCACCCGCAAGACTTGCAGGGGTTTAGTGCTTGTGGTTAAACTAAGCTTTTCAATTTTGCGTGGGGATCTGGGAAATGCTTTACGACGATCCTGTGCATGCATCACAAGTGCTCAAGGTTTTGCAGCTTTGGCCTTGTCACTTAATCTAGAGGTTTGGCCTGTTGTAAGAACATGTAAGAACGACTTCGTTGGGCTATGATGGAGGCATGGCATGCAGCGTCCACGGTGTGCTTCTGCTTGGGGTGGCAGCAAAATCAATACAGGAAGCCAGGGATTGCGTAGACGAAAGGCGCCGTCCTCAAAGTCTAAGCTCGAGCCCCAAGCTCCTTTGCCTTGGCTTTCCCGTTTGGGGCGCTACACAGCTTGCCAGGCAATCTGCCCGTGTACCCCGAATCTTCGAAACCCTGAACCCCAATCCCGGAAACACTCAAGCCCCGGAAGCCTAAAGCCTCGTGTCCTCAGCCCGAAACCTGGCAGCCCAAACATTCTTCAAGAACAACCGGAGGGGTGTTCTTGAACTTCCGGCTCATCTTCTCAAACTCTCTTAATATTGACAAAGCCTCAAACAAAAATCCTAAATCGGTAGGCCTCACAGCGTCTACGAGTTTGCAGCATCCTGCAGATCAAGTGGGCGCAAAGCCTCTGAAACAGGCGAGCGAATGAACCCCAGGTTTCGATGGTGTCGGTTCAAGGGAGACCTGAACCCTGAAAAGTCTACATGCTTCGGGCTCCTTGTTACGATTTCCGTATAAAGTTTTTTTGTAGCGCGGTGGTAATACCCTTGTATGAGGGAATACATGTTTGTGCGCTGTCGCCCCCAAGGATTTGGTTTCAGGAGTTTCAGTTGTCAACTCTTATTGATCCATGCTTTTTGGTCCCTGCAGATTAGACTTCAGGGTTGGGTGCTGTGGAAATGCCTCAACTCCAAACAATCCTTTCTCTGCCAAATCGGCTTCAGCGGTAAGCGTTGTCAGGCTAGGCTTGAACCCCCAGTGGCCTTAGGGCAGTGCGCATGAACGCATGGCAAAAGCAACAAAGCCTGGATCGCGCAGATCCTTGAATACGATTCATCACTTCGCAATGAGTAACATGGCAAGCATCCAAATCTTACAACCCTAAAGACCCTACAAGCGAAGCGAAGAAGCAAGTATATTGAAACCTACCTCTGTAGCATTCTTGAAAATCTCTGATAGGTCCTAAACTTATTAAACCTCAACATCTTAAGCTAGCCCAAACCGAAACCCGAAAGGCATAACCCTCAGTCCTAAGAGCCTAGCCCACACTCAGCGTCGAGGCGGTGTTGGGACAAGCTTGGGGGGCTCAGGGAGCAAGGAACTTCCGGGGCTGGCGGTGTAGGGCTAAGGGCGATTTTCCGACAACTCAGGGGTTCAATTCACAGGACGATTGAACAAGCGCGTGCCCGCATCTGGCGGTTGTTCAAAAGTCGGCTTCCTCGGGGAAGTCTGTACGGTCCATGTCAAGCCGAGGGTCTGGACGCTTGAGGCTTCGGGATTAGGGCGGTCGGATGCCGGTGGGACTTAGAGCTTACCCTAGAGGGTCCAAAGGGCCCCACAGATAGATACATGGACGTTACATGGAATTTAAGATAGTAGAAATGCAGCTCAGTATATGGAAGCGTCACTTTCATGTAGGACTTAACCCCGGGAAGCCTGGTCGAGAACAACCCCCATCTGATGCCAAAGTGATCTCCCGCCCCAGCACTCCGTCGAACTGTTTCCGATGGTTTTCCAAATCGATGCCGGAGGGCTTAGTTCAGATGACATGTCCAGAAATGGTTTGCCATAGAGGCGTTTTCGCGCTGTGAATTTTCAGACAAAGCATTCGTATTGCCGTCATCACTAGTTCGAGGGCTTCAGGAATTGCAGTCAAGCCTACGACCAACCCACCAAGTGGCCTCGGCAGCCGCCAACCTTAGAAAAAAGCCGGGACCTGGTCTCGGGTCTGTTGGAAAGTTCATGGCTGCCTGAAGTCCGCATTTCGGAGCAATGCAAGGAGGGGCAGCCAATGGTTTTCAGTCATATTGAAGTTTACGTCTGCATGGACCATGACCATGATGGGATAGTCTGACTAATCGCGCAGGCCTTTATAGTATCTCAAGTTTACATCCGGAGCGTGACTTTTCGACCCCCAACCGGGGCAGTGTGGCGGAACGTCGCAGGGCTGCAAAAGCCCCAAAGTGCAATCGAAGTCACTGTTCTGACCCTGATGCAAGGACGCGCGAAGCTGTGGAAGATCCTTGCTGGTTCGACTATCTCTGGCCACCCAAATTGTAACTTGAGGCTTGGGGAGCTGGGTTTGAGGCTGCTGCAAGATTCGGGCCACCGTGGCACGGGGTCGAAGGTTTACGGTTCAAAAGTTGGGACGCCAGCAAGGACTCTCACAACAAAAAGTTTGTAAATGCTTTCCAGCCGCAGGTAGTGTGCAACCGGGTAACCCACCTCAATCAAAAAAGAAACGATGTGCAATAAATTGCAGCACCCCCTGGCCTACACCCCAGACTCTGCCACTCCCGACTTCGACGAAGTGAGAAAGTTTAGGATTTAGGGCGGTGAAAGGTGGAATAGACCTTTTGGGATCTGGACAACGAGGTTGAGCCTTTAAGGACTACTTGGCACTCCGTACATAGATACATGGGCTACAGCGAGCTTAGGCTATGCAGCTTCAATACAAATAGTAGTTTGTCAGTTAAACCCGAATAGAACAATGCGACTCGCAGCGACTAACAGAAGCCATGAACGTGAAACCTGCGTCTTGCATGGCAGGCCCTGATGTCCGCGCATCCCTTTTGCCTAAACTCCCACCTCTAAACCCTTGACCAGCACGTAGCAAAAGTATTGCAGAGCCCTGCCAGAACTCTGGCAAAATAAACCCTAAAGTTAACCACAAACACCACCGCAGCGGTCGTATATCACTGGCGCTGTCAAGCATGCCGTGTAGCATTTTGTCGGCCACTTCGCTCGGAGGTGCATTGTGAAACATCAGAAACATCACGCCTGACCTCGGGGCATACAGTGATTTTGGCCCGGGGGTTTTAGGCGTTGAGTTTGCGGTCATCTGGGATTTTTAGGGTTCAGCTGCTGTGGGTTGTATGGTTGGATTCCTGTCTTACGGCTCGGATGCCCCAGACCACATGATATCACACCTTGATCTAGATCTTCTAAACTGCAAACATAAACCCCGAATGGAGGCTGCACATGCCAGGAATGTTCCCTTCGTAAGAGCCCAGGCTCTTTACAACACATCACCTATCTTGGCACACTAAATTCCCCAGCGGAGACTGTGAATCCCAAACCGACAAGCCAAAATAACCTCAATCTAAGCGACAAGCCGACATTCTCTGAATACCTCAAGCCCAGTCCCAAAACGACTCTATGTCCCAAACTGAGAGATCTGCTGTTGCGCAATGGCCGGCATTTGCGGTGCTGACTGTGTAGCACCTGAAACCTCAGACGTGTCTCATCTTGATTTGTACGATGACGGATTCAGCCTGATGCCATGCCGCAACAATGCTCAGAGTCTAGTGACGGTGAGCTTGCAGCATGAGCCTGATTCAGTGAAGGGTGCAGGCCTGCTGGAAAGCATCCGACTGCCACCTGCTTGAACCCTGAAGCCAAGAAGAGCCATAAACAGCAAGCCCTCAACCCCGTACACTTGTGCAGATCTATGAATCCTTTCCAGGCTCAAGGTGTATGAAAGAAGGGGGAAGGGTCGGAGCGATCCCCAGAAAGCCCTTTGAGAAGCTGCATGCAGCACTTCGTCATACTGGGATGTTTGCCACACGGTTTGGGACTTTGAGGCTTCGCAAAGTCTATGTTAAAAACACATGTTGCACTTACATTCAAGTCGAACCTCCTGTACTGTACCGCAGTGCATGCGCTGCGCTTTTGCCTCAGCGACGCCTTAGTCGCAAGCTGCCAACAAGGCGGTTGTTGTACTCCCAGCCGAAACCACTGGTGCTTATGGTGCTGGACACCGCCCCGAAACGCTCCGAACCGGTCGCTACCGCGAACACCACCACGCCCTGTCTCAGCAAGGCCCTGCCGCTAATGATCCGACTTCCGCGGAAATCGTCGACAACTGCCTTCGCCTGCCAGAGAAGCGACGATGCATCTGCGTTGGGTTCTGGTGCCTCAATCTCCGTATTGAGAACAATTGTCTTTGCAAAGCTGTCCAACGGCTCAGTACTGAGACCTTGCTGCGCAACAGCCATGAGGATCTGTGCAACAGTTGCTTCAGTGATGTTTGCAACAACGACATCCTGCCAATCACTGGTTTTACTCTTAGATGGAGCGGTTCCAGCAGCTGCCAGAAGCTTGGAGAGCTCAAGGCGGGCGACTTGAAGCGTTGCACTGTTGAAGCCCGCCGCATTCTCCACGGCATAAACCAGTCGACCAGGAATATTCTCAAACTCTGCCCTCCATGCTGTCGGAATATTGATGCTGAAATCGCCCGTGGGACCTTCCATGCGGATGAAGTCAGGAAACTTGATCTGAGACTGCATGACTCGTGGTGGTCCGGGAACTGTGTTGGAACCCGCCACAGCTGCGGCATCAGCCCTCGATGACTGGGGAAGGAACGCGCAGGCCACTAGCAGTCGACGTGTCAAACCTGACTTCTCCAAGGTCCAGACAGATTAGGCTTAAAGATTGCAGCGTAGTTGCCCAACTCTAAACCCTTAACCTACTTCAACCCGAGACAAGCTGAAGCTGAAAGTAAGACGGACAGGTGAAGCTTGGGCTTAGAGTCCGAGGTGAACCTCTAAAGGGTTACTGCTGATGTACAACTGCTGGACTTACCTCCAAGGGAGCTTCTCTATCGCTGTCTCGCAACACGGGGTCCATGGCAAAATGCGCTCGGACCTATTCCAACTTTTTCACACACAAGCTTGTCCTGACTGCTCCGTGCTAAAGCTTCCTCTCGGGGTGTACAAGTGAGGCATGCTCTAACACTGTTTCGCAGCTCAAGGGGCACCCGTAGCCCGCCCTTTGAACCACGGGCATCGGCAGCTTCTTTACAGCACTGCACACGACACAAAAGCTTTCGGACCTCCTAAGGCTGGCAATTGTGCATCAACACTCCTCCTCCTTTGAGGGTGGCGCACACTCAAATGCCCATCTGGTGCACAGCAGCCTTCAGGAATCATACGGCCTTCAAGGGCGCGGTAGGAAAGGGGATACTTGCTGTCACAGTAGTGGCAGACCTGAAGCTTCCTCAATTTCAGCTTGTTTGCATGCCTCAAACCATGACAGTCCGATACCACATGTAGCTTGTCACCATATTCCGACATCACGAAGCTTGTCCGCAGTCGCTGGTAGTCCCCAATCCTCGCCGTTGTTAAGGCTGCTCTTAGGTCCGGATCATCCTCTCTGGTAGTAGCGGTCGCCGAGCCCTGTGCGCTGCTCGTCAAACTCGTAGTTCCACCTGAAAGCGGCTTATCCGCCACTCTCGACTCGACCCCGCCCTGCTTTTCGAGCCCGATAGGGTCCGACGAACTTGCACTCATCGACTCCAACTCTTGCTGCAACGCCCTGGTGGCCTGGTTGCGGATCTTCAGGAGTCGCCTGGCTTTGGCCACGGTGGCCTCATCTTCTCCGAAGCACCTTTGCACAATCCACTTCAGAGCTTCCCACACAGCCAGCAAAGCTATACCACCAACCAGCAGGAGCACGTAGAACTCCACGCTGCCATCGTAACTCAAAGGCTCCTTGTGGTATACGCCTGCTGCCTTGACTCCCGGGATCTTCGACACCATCATCATCCACGCCATCATCCTCAACAAATCATAATAGTCTCCGCCGCGTAGACTCCTGATGATGACTTCCTCTTCACCCGCCTCAAAATCCTCTGCGGAGCACATCCCCCACAGCTTTCGAAGATCCACCAATCTCGCCACTGGTACTGGCTTCGTCCCCATGTCCGCAGCTTGTACCTCTCCTGGGGTGTGAATGACCCTGATTCGGCCTTCGCTTGTCTCAAACCTTAGGTGACGAGCCTTGACCTTCAAGTGCCTTGTCTTCCATGAGCCCGGTGCCGTAGTTGCCAGACCACACGCCGCTGTATTGTCCACCCGCAATATCAGTGGCTTGCCGGAATCCTCTGGCGACGCCTCTTCCACCCAGGCTTGCAGTCCTGCAGCCTGCTGGCTTGCGTTTCCCAACTCCACCAACTCTGCTTCAGCTGCTGATAAGACAACGGTAGGCTGCTTTGTCATCCGCCATGCAGCGAACCCACCATAGGTCGTCGTAGTCACGCAACCAAAGCTTCGATCACCTTGTGGGGCAAAGCTGGCATCGGAGAAAGCTTCGACCGGCTCTCCCACCCCATTGTAGGTCAACCCCCAGGTTGGCGTGGCGGCTAAATACCTCATCACCATTTTCCCTAGACGGAGTGCAGCTGCAGGGCTCTTCAAGGCTGCTCCACATACATGAGCTGTTGCATACCCAATGTCCGGTCTAGTGCGAGTCACTAGCCAGAGCAGTTCACCTGCTATGCGCTGGGCCTGCTTGACCTGTCCGGGGTCTGGTTCTCCTTGTTCGTCTCCCTCCTCCTCATCCAGGTCGTCCTGCAACGGCATGGTGTCCTTGGTAGCAGGAACCTGCGAAGGTCGGCTCGCCTCAGCCGGGTAACTCTTCAAAAGCTCACCCACAGATCCATGCCCAAGTAGCGCACTGGAGTCCTTCCGATCCACTCCATCGGTGAACACTTCCAGCCTTTGTCGCCCTCAATGCCCTCGGTGAGCCATTGGTAAATGTCCTTGATGACATTCTCCGGCGCCAACATCATCACGTCATCCACATAAATCACCATCAACGCCAAGGTGTTCTTGTGGTCGTCGCACGGCACCAACCTCCATACTGCAGGGTCCGTTTCCATCTGTAGGAACATGCACTCCCGGCCACCCACAAACAACCGAGCTCTGTGCACCCTCTTGTCTCTGAAACTCCCCCATAGCCTTGGTGCCTCTCGCAGACCGTAGAACACCCTGTCCACCAGGTACGCTGTGTTTGGTGGGACCACTCCCGCCTCCACAACAACTTTCGGTACCGTGATGCCGTACTTGATCTCTGCTTCATCCATTGGTGCAAGCGTAAAAGCGCTATTCACGTCTGTCACTGCTCCTGCCCACCGCCGCCGAGCAGCCAATGACAACGCCACACGCACTGATTCCGCGTTGGCCGCGGCGGTGTAGACTTCGACCTCGCTGCTGACGTGATTGCCACATATCACCATTCTGGTTTTCCTTTTGTACAACTGGCTGCCGCTTCCCCCCGAAGGGGGCTTAACGGTGTGTACCGTTTTCGACGGTACCAGGACAATCTCCCCAGCTTCCGCGAGTCGCCTAGCTTCTTGAAGTGATATTCGACGAAGCGTGCCTGACGTTTCCAGAACCTCAATCTCCTTCTGGATGCTCTCTTGCCATTCCATCAAATGGCGTTTGACCTCCTGCAGCTCAACTCCGTGCACGGTATCAATCGGCTCGGTGAGGGCCTGGAGCATCTCTTCCACCTCCGGAGTCGTCTCTGTCTCCTGTACCAACTTCATCATGCTCATGGTTGCTTGTTCCCTTGCTTGGTGACTCAGGCAAAGGATCTCATTCATGTAGTCAATGGCGTCATCAAGCTTGTAGAACACCTGTCGTTCACGTTGCGTGGCATACTCCCCCCTCTCGGCCTGCCTCGCTCTGATCTTCCTCTCTTCCTCCACAAACTCCGATAGCCATGCCACCCTGCTTCTCATCCGCTCCTCCTCATCGTGGGCAAGTGGCAACAACGGTACTGACGTCATCACAACTTCTTCCCGTTGATTGGAGAGGTCAGGGATATACTTGATAGCCCACTTCAAACGAAGCTCCACCCGACCTCCAGGAACCACCATGCTATCTAGGCGCTCTCCACCCATTTCCGGTAGGTACTCCCTTTGCCCGGACCTTGACCCCGACGAAGAAGATTGTAGTGTATGAGGTGCTGGGGTACCTGAGCTCACATCCATACGGTCCTCGGACACTGGCCTTGGCAAAGTCGACTCGCTCGACGACCCTGGTCCAAGAAAGCTTGCCCCCGAGGTCATCACCGTGTTCGTGGCTCCGGTTGGCGGAGCTGCTAAAACCCTGTAGGCGGGCCTGTGGCCCCGAGGTCATCCTCTGGGATAGGTGGTGTTGGTGGCCTCCTTCTCCCATTTGCGTCCATCATTTTCACCACCGGTTCACGCTCCGGTAGAACAAAGCCCAACTCCTCCAGATCATCGCATTGGAGCTGTCGCAGCTTCTCCCATTCCACGATCCTGTCCCCTTCTTCCCCTCGTAGTGGTGCATGAAGACGGTCAGGGCGAATCTTCGCTGGGATTTCCACGCTCATCTTCTGACCAGGTACTTCCTTTTCATCCACCCGCATAGCATGGTAGTTCCCCTTGAACTCGTCCCCTTCCTTCAACTCCTGCCACACACAGCTTCCTTTTGCCACCTTGAGAGGCGATATCAAGTTCATCGCCTTCTTGTGGTTGAAGGAGTCTCGGTGCACTGGCATCACTGCATTCTTCACCAAAGCCACTGAGGTGAACGAGGATCCCGGGTGATCAATGGCCAAAAGCCTAGCTGCAAGGACTGCTTCCTTGTTGAACTTCTCTGTTGCCCTGGTGATACTGGTAACCCCACCGTGTTGGTACGCACCCAAATTGATATACGCCGCACCATCCCAGACTTCACCCTCCTTCATCTGAGGTCGTTCTACTTTGGCCTGGGGCGAATCCCAAATCTTGGACTCCAGCAGCTCCTTCACCAAGACGCTCCTTTCGTGCTTGCGGATCGCCCGCACTTCTGGATCACTCAACTTGGTCTTACCTCGCACACGCTTCGTAGGCTCAATGAGGTCCACAACGTGTTCCTCATCCTCCCACTCCACCTCGTCGTCCCTCACCGTTCTCATGTGCAGAGTGCGAAGCCAAAGACCATCATCTAAACGAACCACGTGGCCCTCACGTACATCATCGGCTGGACCCATATACTTGCCTCGCTCCCACTTTGGATCAAACGGCCCCCTGTCCTTCTTTGACTTCACCCAGACGACAGAGCCGAACTTGATGCTTGCAGCCTTCGTTCCCATCTGCCTTGCATTGTGCTGGTGACACGCATGCTTCATAGCGCAGGGCCAAAACTCCTTGTCCAACTCCATCTCGTTGAGGTGAACTCGCGCCTTGCCTTTGAGCCACTTCACATGACTTTCCGCCACCGCATTCTGTGTAGGCGCCAAGCCCTCGGTGAACGTTTGGTAGATATCCCGCTCCCGACACCATTTTCGCACTGGCTTGACCCGGAACTCTCTAGCTCTGTCGCTGTGGATCCTGGTCAAAGGTAGACCCATTGCCCTCAGCTGCACATACAGGTCCTGGATGCACTCGAGGATCTCCTTCCCAGTATGTCTTTCCAACGGAACGCAAAACCGAAGCATTTGAAGCTCCATCGGCTTCCGTAGGTCCGCTACTTTCTTTTTCCATTCCTCCTCTTGTGCTTCACAATCAGGATCTTCCGGATGCTCGTGCTCTTCCGGCTCCTCTTCCTCCTCGTTCAAGAACTCCTCGGCCTCCTCCTCATTCGGAATGGGGTCGTCCTCGGGCACGTCCCGAATCTTTGGATAGAGGTAGGTCGCCGCAAGCACGAACCGGTACTTCTTTCCTCTCACCTCATCCTTGCCTCGGGTTGCAAACGGGCCAGCTATATCCAGGCTCATCACGTAGGCGTCCCTGTGAACCACCTTTCTTGCCGGTCTTCCCGTACCTGAGGCGGTCAAACAAACTGAGCAGTCACGTCTGTAGGGCCAATGCCCGCGTTCAACGTGAGCCTTCCATTCGTCCAACTCCTTCTGGGCCATGGCTTTCTTTACCACCACGGGGCTCTCACCACTCCTCCACTCGTGGATCGCGTCCGCCAAGGTGATCCGGAATCAATGCGGCCATGTAGACTGATCCACCTCCTTGGTGTCCGCTGCTACGTAGGCCCTTTGATCTTTGAGCCCATGTATTCCCAGTCCCAAGTTGCTCAAACAACATGTAGGTCTCTTGAACATGTGCCCCAACGCCCCTTGCTCAAACTGGAACTTCCGCAAGCCTGTCTCTTTGATGAGCTCCCTCATAAACTCCGTTCTCCACACAGATACACAAGCTGCACGGTGGTCACCCTCCGGCATGTAGTTGTGAGGGTCCTCAGGATACTCCAGACAAAACCCAACTCGGTGTTGATCACCACCCTCGGTGCCGACCGCCTTTGCTGCCTCTGCGCACAGCCACAGCCACACCATCTTGTGCAACATCACATTCTCGTTCAGGACCTTTGAGCTTTCCTCCGGAGTGAGTCCCTCTCTGAGCCCCCACGGCTCCCATGTAGAGCGAACTGTCCTTTTTCTGTTGCCTCCCTCCGTCTTGTAGTGCCATGGCGAGAACGTTCCAGCCGGAGGACCCCCCACGACATGGTTCAATCTTCCCTCCTTGGCAATCCACAAGAACACACCATAGATCTTGTCATCATTGAGGTCCCACCCCCTTTTTGCATCTACCTCCACCAATCCAGGAAGGTCACGTAGAGGATCATTCTTCACTCCTCCACCGGCAAACATGTGAATGTGAACAGTCCACTCACGGGCTTGCCATAGTCGCCGTCGATTGGCCCTGTTCATGGGAAACTTCTTCATCCATTGCCACGCCTCGTTCTCGTCCTTTGGCATGGGGGCAACAACTTGCAGCTGATCCCGCATAGGCACATGGTTCATGAAAGGCGCACACATCACCGCCTTCACCCCATCCTCATAGGCACCGGTAACCATATAGTCCCGAACTTGATCCTTCCAACCCCTTTCCCGGTACTCCTTCGCTGCTGCAACTGAGGCCTTCAACTGCGCCAGTGAGCTCATCGTTTCTGTGAGCTTCGCCTCCTCCAACTCAGCGATGAGTCGTAGTGCATCACATTGCATGACCTCCGGACACGTAGATCTTGTGTACACTCGCACTTCTTTCTTGTCTGGATGGCGAAGTCTACATCCACGACGATCCCAACTGAACTCGTGGCCTTTATGAGGGTACCCAGTGGGACTATCGGCTGAATATTCTGATCCGACACAATGGTTCCAGCCTTGTTTTGCTCCATCTGCACCCGGTTCTCCCCAGCCAACGTCACATTAACATTGTCCATGGAGCCAATATTGTCCTTCACCGTCTTCGGCCTAAGCGGGTGTGTGGCTCCCGAGTCCAAGAGTCCCATGCGGTTCAAGTTCACCAGCTCCTCGTTTTGCCTGAAGAACTCCCGCAATGCCGGTGATGACCCGCAGTCCCTCTTTACCGCTTCCTCAACACGAAACACCTGCACATGCGGCGTTGCTTTCTGCTCCATAAAGGCCTTCATCAGCTTCTGTGCGTCCTCTATGAGCTGCTCGACCGGGACACCTTGCACTGGAGACTCGGCTGGCACCGTAGAGGTAGCTGCTGCTGTAGGCGTTGCGACATTTTGGCTAACTTCCCCTGCCTCAGATCCTCTCTGGCTCTTCGCAGTCGCCGTAGCTCTTCTCCCGCTTGTACCGCCAGTTGAAGACGCCGGTGAGTCACCCGCCGCAATTGCCTTTTGCTGCACCTCCTTCTTCGTTGGACAAGCCGCCGCTTGATGCCCTTTTGCTCCACACTCGTAGCATCGATCACGACGTTCCGCCTTACTGAGGTCCTTCATGCTGTGCTCGTACTTGCATGCCTTCCCCCTCCGACATCCCTCATCAGACGTGTAGAACCTGCAAGGCCTTGTCACGCCCTTTGGGGTTGTTGACGGCGAGGTCGGCATAGGCGTGCTCCCCGGCTGCGCGCCCCCAGCCTCCACAGCTCTGACCTTGGGTCCCTGCGCACTGGTGTCCTGCGTAGTTCGGGCCTTCTTTCTGAAACCCAACTGCTCGAACTCTGCCAGAAAAGCTCGACGCACGGCCAACAAGGACTCCTCGGACGGGTTGAAGTCGACCTTGAGGTGGTACCTTAAAAGGTTCATGCGAAACGCGACCTCTGAAACATCCTGAACTGGCTTTCTCACCAAAGCGTCTAGGCCACGAAGCATCACAGAGGGGTCTGGGGTTGTAAGCTTCAAATCTCGTGCTCTCTGGTAGTGCCTCAGCCACTGTCTTAGGCCCTCTACCGCCTCATGACTTGTGTTCGACGGATCTGGGCTCTCTATTTTCCGCAGCAACTGGCCCTTCTCCTGAGCACTCCCAGGCCTGTAGATCACCATGAGCCGGGACAAAACCTCCAGTGTACTCTTTGTTCTCGCTGCGACCAATTCCTTTCTCACATCCTCTGGGGTCGCCGCCAGAAGCGTGGCTGCTCCACGCCTGTCCAGCCTGCTCCATCTCTGATCCCCGAGCTCAGTAGAAGGCGTTGGCCTCAACGACAGCCGTGTGAACTGGTCGGCCGCCTGGTACTTGTCATAAAACTCCTGAGCGTCTTGGAGCAAAATGCGCCACCACTCCGCGCTCGAAGCTGCAAGGTCACTCATGACATGGTCCATGAAGTACAACCAATCTCCGAAGTCCACTGAAGATGATTCTGAAAGCTCCGGCAACTTCGGGGCTTCTGTAGCCTTGCTGAGCTCCTCTGGCTTTCCACCTTTTATCACCTTCTCCAAACCTTCCAGCAACCTTGACATAGGGTCCGAAGCACCACCGCTAGCTCCCACCCCAGTCGTCGCATGAGTACTCGGGTCCCTCGCTGCTCCTTGGGTTGCAAACACATTCTTTGTAGGAACACCACCAGCTGCTTGTAAGCCCGATGCCGTTGGCATACCCAGAGTTGCTTGTACGCCCGACACCGAAGGCATAGCCGAGGTTGTATGTACGCCCGACGCCGTTGGCATACCCTGAGCTGCATGTACGCCCGACACCGATGGCATAGTCGAGGTTGCTTGCATGCCCGACGCCGTTGGCATAGCCGTGGATGCTTGTATGCCCGACACCGTTGGCATAGCTGAAGTTGCTTGTATGCCCGACACCGTTGGCATAGCCGTGGTCGCTTGTACGCCCGATGCCGTCGGCATACCTGGTGCTGCATGTACGCCCGATGCCGATGACATAGCCGAGGCCAAATGCCCACCCAATGCCATAGGCGGTCCTGTAGGCTCCCTTAAGCCCTGCTGAGGCCCTGTTGTCCCTTGCTGGCCTTCAGCTCTCAAGCACTCCAACTCCTGGCGCAGATCATGAGCTTCTCTTCGGGAAGCCTCCAGTTGGCTCACAACTCCCCGTAGTTGTCTTTTCACCTCTTCCTGCACCGCCTCGTAGGTGCTCCCGCCTGAGCTTCCCTCCTGCCTGTCGCGTATGGCCTGGCCATACAAGTGAGGTGCTCTCTGCTCCATGCGCCGGAGCTGATCTTGCTGCTCTGGACTCAGCAATGAAGGTGCCGCCCAAAGCCCTCCATCTGACTCAGGCGATCCCGCAACGCGGCTGGTCCTTTGCGGCGGCGAACCCAGTGGTGAAGGCTGCCAGGGATTCTGCTGCTGGCCCCTCATCTCCTGGAAGAAAGCTCCCAACCTCTGAATCCACGCAGGGGCCGTTCGCCTTGTAGCCATTACGCTCCACGAAGCCTGGGCAGCATTCATCTGATTGTACTGTCCAGGGACATCAGCCAGCCTGGCCTGAGAGGCTTCCACTCGCCCAGCAAAACCAGCATCTACTGATGTCCACATCGAATTTCCAGGGCTCTGATCCGTAGCCACTGCCACAGCCATCGTCCTGACTGCCACATCTTGCTCTGCTCCTTGGTTGCCAGCCACCACTGTGGTGTCTCCAGCGCCTGGGTGTACATCTGTAGCGGCAGCTGCACTTGCGGTATTTGGGCTCATACCCTGCTGATGTACAACTGCTGTACTTACCTCCAAGGGAGTTTCTCTATCGCTGTCTCGCAACACGGGGTCCATGGCAAAATGCGCTCGGACCTATTCCAACTTTTTCACACACAAGCTTGTCCTGACTGCTCCGTGCTAAAGCTTCCTCTCGGGGTGTACAAGTGAGGCATGCTCTAACACTGTTTCGCAGCTCAAGGGGCACCCGTAGCCCGCCCTTTGAACCACGGGCATCGGCAGCTTCTTTACAGCACTGCACACGACACAAAAGCTTTCGGACCTCCTAAGGCTGGCAATTGTGCATCAACAGTTACCTTCTGAGTTGCAGTGCCCAGAAACCCAGCCATGCCCAACTCGGCCCCAGAATCGCAAAAAGCAGGAGCAGCAGGGCAAACACGCTTCGATTTCGGCGGCCCATCGGCATCAGAGCCATTGTCTTCGAAACGGTCTCAGTCGGGCATGCGAGCCCTAGACCCTCAACCCCAAGCCCCTATGTACCCTGAAAGCTCCAGCCTTTGGTGCCCAGACACATTCAGCTACTTGCGAAGTGCGGGCCTACTTCAAACTCTGGAGGACGTCGGAGACACCCCACTGATTCATATCTACTTAATCCTACTGCAGTCCAAAGCCTGTAAACAACAAAACCCACACAGTACCTGGACCTTTCGTGCAATCTCCCACCGAAAGCCGGCGGCGACCACGTTTTAGATCGCATGTGCTGAGGGTGTAGGACATGGGACTTAGCAATAAGGCTGCAGAGTTTAGAATTTAGTGTACGGGGTCTCGCGGCTTCGACCCGAAACTGACCAAGACCGGGGAAGATGCACTCTCGGCCATACCCGTGGGATGGGTTGCTCTGGTTTGAACGGGACTCTTTATGGTTTAGGCCCTCTATCTATACATATGCGAATAATATGTGGGAAAGGCTTTCGGGGCTGGGGGTTCAGGATTTGGGTGCGTTTAGGAGATGAGGACTCCAGGCTTGCAGAGCTTAGCGCCCGAGACTCGAGATGTTAGGCCCTGGCTGATGACCAGTGTTTCGAGATTCTTGGAGATTTGCTCTTGACAGGATTCGGCTTGAGATAGTGATTTCAATGCGCTTCTCGCCCCAAGTAAACACGTATACAGGAAGCCGTGCTTTGGAACCTTCGACGAACTTGGAAGAAGCTCTCTAGTCACTGTGGGTGCAAAACTCTAGACCCTAATTCCTGAACTCTTAAGCGTGAGGCTTCGAAAAGCGCAAGCCTTGCAGGGCTTTAGAAACGGCAGCGGGGGCGAAGATCTGTCGACCCACAGGGTGCTCCACTCCCACTACCGCTTTTCTGGCTTAGGGTTCGTTGCTCCAGCATTATGGAAGGGAGGTTTCGTGAACCTTGCTTAACCAGCAATGGTGTGCTCGGGCTTCGAAGCTGTTTCGGATGAACAGCTATGATATAGGGCTCTGAGAATGTATATATATATATGTATATATATATATATACACACACACACACTTAGCAATGATAAGCAGATGCAGCTTACAATATGACTCTACATTTGAGACACCGTTTGAAGGTTTCCCTCCACCTTGCCTAGTAGCCTAAGGGACCTGCCAACATGATCCGGGGTGGGTAAAGGTATATAGTGTAGGGTAGGGGCTTAACAACAGAAATCGGGTTTAGCGGGATTATACCAGGACTTGCACGCTTCAACTATTTTTGCTCAGACCCTGAAGCTTCCTCTTGCAGACAATGGGTTTGGGGGTTAAGCCGAGCCTTTCCAATGCAGAAAGTAAATCGCACAACCTCAGAAAGTGCAGGGGGTATCTCGGCAAGACGATCCTTTCTGGGAGACCTGTAAACCTCGATGACAGCCTACATCCTCAAACCTCAAGGTAGACACTGTCAAACCAATACGCATACCTGCTCAGGCCCTTTCACTCTCAGATACATGAACTCGCGCGAAATCTCTTCATGTACTGAAGGACACCGCGAAAGCCCTTGATCCATGTTGTACACATTCACGAGGACCGGACAGGCAATGCGGCGATGGAGCCTGCACAGCTCAACTTAGCAACCTCGGCGGCTCGAGTATTTCAGAAGGCACTGTGGGACTTCCTCTCGGACCGCGATGTTGTAGGGTTGAGCCGGGTTTCGCAGAATTCCATAAGGTCTTTGCAGGATTTTTTGGGGATACTCGCGCTCTAAACCCAGAGCCCTAAACCTTATGGCCCCGCCCTGCCAGTGCACTCTTAAACCCCAATGCCCCAAATGCGACACTCCCCCCATAGCCGTCATGTGAGGCTGTTTTGGAGGCGGTGTTGATGTTAATGTCGATGCTGAAGGTTGTAAGGATTATTGCTGCGTTGATGAGCACTTCTGAAAACCAAAAAGGGGAGGCCGTGTCGCAAGAAAAGAAGCTCATCACCTGAACTCTGCGCACCGACTCTGCACCACCCTGAACATCTCGTGGCGAAGACTAGCTCCCAAATCCTCAAATCTTAGCGATCCCGAAGCACAGACGCAACCGCGTAATTGTCCCTGCAATCCATAATCCTACCCCTAGGCCGCATGACACTCTTCATGTCTCAAAAACATAAACCCGAGTGGACCAACAAAAGCAATATAGCTCCAAGCAAAAACAGTGCTGCAAGTCCACTCGCTAAGGCATTGGCTCCGGCAGAACTCCGGCGGGCAGCAGCTGCGAGTGAAATTGGAGTGGCCCCCCAGCAGTAGCTGAAACACTTCCAATTGCCAAATCTGACCTTGCATAGTTCTACTCCTCACATCTAGACTAGCCTATTGACTATACCAGCGGGGTATCTTACGTATATCATATTTCTTCAGCTGGTACATCGATTCCCGCCAACTCATTGCATGCCTTGCCAGAGGCACCCTAAATCAATCCTCAGGTCATGGTTGAGTTGAGGCTTTGACGTACTCGGTTACCACACGGACCTAGGATTTAGGGTTTGAATTTGGACTTCTCTGACCTCCAATGAGGCCTTCACCTAACCCGGTCCAGCCGTCGGCCCCTACAAAAAGGGCTCACGACTGCTGGGGGACGATCCTCCTCTAACCTCGCGTCAGCGGCGCCCTCAATTGAAAGACTGGTTGAAGCGAGCCTGGGCATTGCTTAGCTAAGTGAGGGTCTTGGGTTTGGGGTGTTAGGGTTGAAGGGTTTACGATTGTTTGAGTCCGAGCTCTGTGCTCCCTCCTCCCACTGCTGGTCAGGGGTTTGGGTTTAGCGTGTAGGGTCTAGGGAGGCGTACTGAGGCTCGTAGACTCGGCTGTCTTAACATCTCAAAACGATTCGATGATGTCGGCTGCTGCAGGGGCTCTGGCGTTGACAGGCTAAGGCGGTTAAGGTCTTCAGGGTACTCAGGTAGAGCACTTTCCAGGGGTCCAGGGGGTGTTATGCATTATAGGGCCAGGGTAGCGGGTAGCGATGAAGACCATAATTCATAGTTCAACTTTGTTTTGACTGCAAAAAGGACCCGGGAAAGGAACCGCAACTGAGAGCAACCCTCAGGTGGGCTTCAGGTTTTGGGGGTCTTGCAGTCTTGCACGTCTCTTCAGGCTTTTAAACACAACTTTACAAATGGTCTCAAAGCCTAACCCCTAAAAACTTGCAACCTTGCGAGCCAGAAGGGGCCTATCGCTTCGAGGTTGTGGGGTTCCGGGGCTTAGGGGTTTGCGTTCCATGAGCGCAGGCTTAGGCCATTCGGCGCCCTGGGCTGAGGTTCAGGCATTGTGGACTCAGGGCTTCGAGGCGTGTGCTTGTTGGGCGTTTGGCGCAGAGCTTCGGGGCTTTT